TAATACAATGCAATATCCCAATAAAATGTAACTCGTCAAATTCACAAAGTCAAAACAATGAGTCGCCCCACACGCGGCTTCGGCTTCGGCCTTCGCGGATATTCGGCACACAGCTCGGCCCCTCATTTTCCGACGATAAAACGCTAACAAACATCGCTAAATAATCGTAAAATTTTTAACAAAAGTAGGCACTGGCTGGTATGGCTCAAACATTTACTTATCTATGTTGATTGCATTGCTAATTGTACTGAAACAATATCCTTTTGTTACAAGAAAGACCTAGTTTTGGTCGCGAAACGCTAAATTATACAACTTTGCACTAACAATGGACGGTTAGTATTTATATTTTCAACAAAAAATTATGTTTCTACAACTTGTTGGTAGTTTAGCGAACATTTCTTAGTATTTCTAGACGTTGTTATAAAATATTGGTTTTATTCAAATGTTAGAGTTGGATTCGAGGAACATATAGTGCTGGTAGCGGGGGCTTGTAGAAAATTGATTACTGCAAACGTTGTAAATATGCAGTTCCTTATTCTTGCTTTCTTACATATAGGTAGCAAAGTATTTAGAGCTATTTTTGTTTTGTAGCGTAGTGCGGGTACCGACGCCCGATATATCCGAGGATATTTAATATTCTGACTTTGCATGGGTAAGTGAGGCCTTTTAGTTTATCAAGTCGACTTGTACATACGTATTTGGTTTCCGTTACTCTAAAATTAAGTTGCCGCTGGATGGGCATGTTATATTTCGATGTTAACATTTCTGCAGTGTTGTCTAACCGTCCTGTTGGTTAATTGAATATTCAAAAGGTGTTGACCTGGGTTTATAATTTAAACTTATTGATTATTCAATATGCACTTTATACTTTTGCAATAAAGTAAGAAAAATGTTGCAGCTCGATAAATAACGAAGCGACTGTATAAAAAGTATTGATTACAGTTATGATGACTTGTATATCTGCAATTCTAATCAGCCATCTTGAATCGACCGTAGACTTTGAGATTCTAGTAGCGGTGTATCTAACCTGTATGTGATAATATTTTATTATGTACCGGCTTTTTAATATTATAACCCTTAAAGGGTCCAGGTTCGGGTACCTATGTTAAAAATAAATAATACCTTCAAATGTATCTAATCAATGAAGTAAGAAAATTAACGAAGTAATAAAGTACTCTCATTTAACAAAAAAAGAACTTCAATAACCTAACGGAACATAATACCACTTTTAATACTTAAGGCTCAGGCAGGAGTGTACAAATCTAATGTATCACCCACATTACATCTGTTGTTATAGAGGTGAACCTTTTGCCACAAGCCCAATATAAAACCCCGTGCAATTAGTAAGAGTTTACCAAAAACCGAACAAATCCCGTAACGCATTCCGTATAACACAAGACACCCTTTCAAACGTGGGATTCAAACCTATAGCCTACAAACTCTAAAGCAAAAACCTTTAAATGTTAAAAATAACTTCAAAAGTGTTGAAATTCTACCCCATCATTGGTTATAAAAATACTTCCATACTATGCGTTAAGGTTTCACATTATACTTTTTCTTTTACTTTTCTTCAAGGAGCTCATAGTGTTAAGACACTTTTTGCCCCTACTATGGTCACCTTAAGTCTCAGCGGTGATACAAATCTACACCAGCGCCATTTTTTAAGAAACTGCATGGACAATTTTTTATTTTCTTATTTTTTATTCGTTCTGAAATTGGTAACTGTTAATTTATAATAACCAATTTTCTTACTGTGTGCAAATAATTTTAATATTGGTCTAATTAATTTTTTATGCGGCTATCGTTAACATTAAAATATTAGATAAGTCAAATTACTTTATAGAAACTATCCCAATTTATCCAAATTTTACTGAGTCTTACATATTTTATTCATCAATTAAAACATCGTTAATATTTTTTGCGCAACTAATTTTAAACAATGCATTATTTCAATTTTGCGAATATTTTTTTCAAGTCCAAATCTCTTTTTTATCATAGTAAATTAATGCACACAGAGTTGAAATTTTAAATGTTTCTAATCATCTCTTTTTGTAACTAGCGGTCTAACTCTTGGCCATATTTCACAACAACACAGTTACTCACTTAGTAGCGCTCGGAAATAAACAATCAAATTGCCAATAAGTATTGGGACAAACTGCTGATTTAAAGTTTGCAACTTATTAAAAGTTGCAAATATTTGTGCAGCTGCAATTGTGATATTTTCCACATTGTTTGGCCCTATATCGATCTGATGAAGTAACAAACACTATTGTAACTTTCACATTAGCATTAATAATGTAGTCGAGTGAAATATAAATTAATTACGTAATGCGCTACTGTATGGAAAGTTTTGCGAGCGGGGGTGCGAGGGCGCGCGGGGCTGCCCTCCCGGTCGGCGGGAAAAGTTTTGAAGTAAGTTAGCGCGCGGGCCGCGGCGACAGCTGGGGACAGGCGGACTTACCCTCTCTTCCTCGCGGATCATCTCGGCGATGCCGGGCCGGATGTCGACGTCTTCGGGGTGCATCGGCGGCATGACGGGAGTCGCGATGACGGGCTCAGTTGGCGGCAGCAGGTCGGAGGCCGGCGTAGGGCTGGGGGTCGGCTGGTGCGCTCGGCTGGAGCCGCCGCTGGCACGGTCCTCAGACATGCGGCGCCGCGACTTGGGCGGTGAGTCCGCCTCTCGGCTCCGGTCCGGCCTCTTGGCGCTGCGCCCGCCCGGCTGCACTACTGCGTGCTCGCCGCTCACATCTGTCAGCCCGCGGATCTTCAGGGACTCAGCCACCTTCAGTAGTGCCGGGATCTGTTCCTGGGACACGTTGATCTCGCCCCGATACATGAAATCCACCGCAGCTTTCAAGTCGCAGTATTTGGTGTCACGCATTATTATTATCGGGTGCTGGCAAGGGTTGTCCATAAACAACGACTGGAAGTAGGGGCTGCATGCCGACAGAACCACTTTATGTGCTTTCAAACTTTGTCCATCGCAAGATAGAGTCACATCCACGAAAGATTGAGTTTGCAAAAGTTGGTCAAAGCTGCTGGTCAAGTTGCTTTGGTAGTTATTCCACCGCAGGCAGAACTGCTGCGGGGAATCGCTTGGCTCCCGACACTCCATCGCCGCGGGGTCTTCCTCGGCCGGCATCACTTCAACGACAACGGGATCGCATCTGCAGCGGAAAGCGCGAGTTAGACACACTACTACGCATGCGACACAGACGACGGACCGCGAGGCACTGAACGGCGAGTCTTAGAGCGGAGCGGCGAGGCGCGGGGCGGGCGGCGCGCGTGGGCGGGACTGAAGCAGCTGTCGGCCAATGGGCAGGCCGCGTCGGCCGCCTCTCGCGCCACGCCCCGCGCCCGCCAGCCCGCGCCCCGCGCCCCTGCATTGACCGCCGGCCGGCGCCCGCGCACCACGCGCGCACACAACCATATTGTACAATGTTCGCGTTACATTTGGCGATAAATTACAATTAAATGGCAACGCAATACTAACTCTAGTAAGTAGTGCAATAAATACGACTTTTTTAAATTGTTAATTCTATGATTAGATGAGTGCCGTACGCAAGTAAAAGTCGTTGATGAACAAAAAACGTAAATTAATTAGAATCGAATACAATTAACGCGATATTGGCCGAGCACGACTACGACTAGAAACTATGAAGTGGACAGAAACATGATTAATTTATTATTTTGTAGAGTTGCCGGGTACCTACCAGTCTACTGGATATTTTTTTCTAGGAATAAAACATTTTTGCAGAATTAAATTGATCAGGTGTCAATTAATGTGTCTAGGTAGTGGATATGATACCTGCGCAGGTGCTAACAGGTGTCTCTAAAGCAGCACTTATGACAAAGTAACATAACCTATACCTAGTACTACCTAGTACTACTACTTGCACAGTAGGTACATACCTACGCAATCTCCCATTATTTAGGTACATTGACAATTAATAGCTATATAAGCAGACAATCACATACAATTTATACCTATATATTTACAACCAGCTATGCAAAACCAAACCATACCTACCTACTTGTGATTTTTTAAATATAATATGTTGAATTAAACTTTACCTATACTTTTATTCAGGTACCTACCTAGTAGATACAAAGGTATTTTAGTTATTGATCTATGTTATTAGAATAAAATAAAAACCATCGGTTAAATAAGAACTCTCAGATATAAAAATTTGTTTGTTAACACTTGCCCCTTCTGCGGAAGAAATATTAACATACCTGAAATAAATAGGTATATTAACAAACTGATTTTAAATTCTATTATTTACAATAAAATATTTTTAATATTCATTCAACAAACATGACATAACATCACGCCTTTTATACCCGAAGGGGTAGCAGAGATGCACATTACGGCCCTTAATGCCACTGTACAATATAACACTCACTTTTCACTATTTATGTTATGAGTCTCATATAATAGGGGGTGAGCCTATTGTATATTAATTCAAGCTTAAATAAATCAGTAGGTAGATACATAAGTATTTATCTAGTAAGACCTAAAGAGTAGAATGGACACTTAATAAACATTACCTAGTTAAGTAGGTGCTTACCTAAGGGTGTGACTATAAAACAGTCTTAAGATAATAATTAAAGACTTTATATCTGATAGGTACACAAAGATTTATCGATTGAATGTTACTGGACAACTTTGAAACTCACTAATATCACATAAGTAGGTAGGTACTTATTCGCTGAAAAATCTTTACTAATATTATAAATCGGAAAGTGAGTTTGTTTGTCCCGCTTTCACGCCGTAACTACTAAACCGATTGCTTTGAATTTTTGCAGACGTAAAGTTAGAAGTCCGGATTAAATAATAGGGTACTTTTTATAACGGAAAAATTTGGTATTCCCGAGGGAAAACAAAAGTATTGGTAGGATAGATGGCGCTGTATGCATTGTATATGTCACATAGGCTACTTTTTATCCTTTTGTGACGCGAGCGAAGCCGCGGGTAAAAGATAGTATGTCTATAAAATATAATATGTAAGTATAATGTACATCAGTTTATATTTTGACATATTTCATTTACATAATACCTACGTTAAGTACCTAATCTCTCAGTAACACTAATGGGAACTTTATCAGACAGTGTAAAAACGACTGAAAACACTTAGTTTACACAACATCACGCTTTATTATCCCCGAAGGGGGAGGCAAAGGTGCACATTACGGCACTTAATGCCACTGTACAATGTAACACCCACTTTTCACTATTTATGTTACAAGTACTATGTAATAGGCGGTGAGATTACTATATAGGTACCGGGCACAATTCCTGACTCCGTGCTACTACTGAGAATTTAAAAAAGACCCAGTAATACTTTGTTCGAACCGGCAATCGAGCCCAAGAGCTCTTGCCTGGCAGTCGCACTTGCGACCACTCGGCCAACGTACACGTTAAAAAATTTAATTATTTGTTCAAACTTCTGAACTCATCTTCAATGGATAGAGGAAAGCTGTAGTAGGCATGTACTTACATGTCATGATGGCCTGTGGTGAAGACGCCCGCTTCTCATGCATGAGGGTGCGGGCTCGAAACCTACCAACGGCAAGTACCAATGTGGCTTTTTCCGAGTTATATATTATACTTTCTAAGATTATCTAGACCCCACTGACAAACGGTGAAGGAAAACATCGTGAGGAAAACTGGGCTTATAATTTCTAATTATAAGTTTGTAATCCCCAACCCGCATTGAGCAAGCGTGGTGATTAATGCTCAAACCTTCTAAGTGTGAGAAGAGGCTTTGCTCAGCAGTGGGCACTTATAGGCTGTTGATGATGAGTACGTTCATATCTTTTTATTCGTACTTACATACTTATCAACAATTTCTTTAAGTCACTTTCTTAGTATTCGCGCCGTAATATTTTCAGTGTCATCTAAATATGTTGATTTTAATCATATAGAATCTTAGTTTTTAAACAAAACAAACTGCATACTTCCTAGCCAGCCATTATGATTTACTTTTGCATAGAAAATAGACAGAATTATTTCTTAATTATTATGTTTTCGACTTACTCACGTAATAGTTAGACAAAGAACTCGACGAGTTTCAAACAGTACGCAGTAAATAGTAGTATGTTGCTCATGAATATGAACCTCTAGTATGGCTTGAAACTAGTCGAGTTCCCCGTCAAACAGTTACAAGACGAAGTCAAAAACATAATAATTAATTTATATCTATGTCTCATGAAAGCTTTAATATAAATAGAATTATTTCTTTCGTTTTTCTTAATTTTCAAATTAATTCTTTAATATCATCTGAACAGATATAGTCTTCAGGTGAACTTTGGAATAATATTTGACAAGTTAAGTAACACTTAAATACCCCACGCTACACCGTGAAATCTATATCGTTTTCTATTTTGGTAATACAAATCTTTTACAAACAAATAAATTGTTTAAAACAAAAAATAACTGGTGAAACATTGCAAGGCGCAAACTTTGAAAGCGCATACGAACTCATAGTAAGTACATTATCAAAACACATAA